CATTACTATTTAATTCTGTTGATCCACAATCTGTTACATCTATTATATCAGGATTCAATTTACAATGTTTACCTTCATAACCAAAAAACATTGCAGAATTATCTACTGTTTTCATAGCTTCAATTGCTAAACATGCATATTTATTAAGAATAGCAGTATCAGCTGTAAAAATATTTAAATTTGGATATTAACTAAAGTTAATATTGACACATAAATTCCCATTAAAATAACATCTTTATTGAGTTGACCATTCAATCATATGACAAGAATTCTTATTCATATAAGAACATTTTAATTGCAATGAATTATAATAATCTTTAACTTATTTCTCAATTGTAATATCCACAATATCCATTGTAAGTTCTGTACATTTTAATTCATTACTAAAATAACAATATTGTCCTGTTGAATAACGTCCACAAACATGTGAATTAATACCTACAAATTCACTACAACATGGTGTTCCACATATACCTTTAAAAACTGTACAATTACCACCTTCATAAATACAATATCCTTTCATTTTATCAATTAATGGACCTTTTAAAGCATCATAATCAGGTTATTCCATCTCAATTGAAGCACATACATTAGCATTAATCAATATATTTTTACCAGTATATTATGTATTATAATCCAAACAACTTTCATTAAATGTAACATATTAATTAGAACATCTATTCTCTCTAAACAACCAAGAACATTTTGCACTTGCTTTAGTAATTGATCTACAAACATCAGGAGTAGGTGAACTTGTAACACAATCAGAATTTGATAACAATTTATCTGTCTATTTTTTTACTATTGTATTTGCAGTAATAACTGTTATTTATTTACATTACCATAAATCTTTATCATAATAACAACTTTTTAATTAAATTTAAGCACATGCATAAGCATTTAATCCTGGAAATGAACAAGTCATAGTCTCAGTATTTAAACTATTAACACATCCTTTAGCATTTTTTTCATATCTACATACTTCATTACCAGCCTCTACTAAAGCACAAGTAGCTGGATTTACATATTACATTTATAAACAATATATCGCTTATACATCATTCTTATGTTTGATTTATTAACATTAATTATTATACCATCTACACAATTAACCAGTTGTTAAAACTAATGCACAACCTATTCTATTTAATCCCATTCCAGTACATTTAATTTCATTTAATAATTAATCACTAACTAATCTACACTATTATGAATTAGTATCATAATAACATCCATCTTCATCAGATTTTAATATCTAAGAACATGCTATTTGATTTGCAAAACCTAAATCTAAACAACTTGTTTATTCTTGTATTATTGTTGCTTAATTACAACCAGAACTTGTCCATTAACAAGCATACTTTAAAATAGATACACATGCATTAAGATTTAAAAATGGAGTTGTACAAGTATCACTTTCAATAGTCTTTTCACATAAATGAGTTCTATTATTGTATTTACATCTCACTCCAGGTTTAGATATTGCTTAACATACATTCCCATTAAATTTGAATAAATTATTTTCATTTTAAATTGGACAATCAATATCTTAATTAATAAATATTCCAACACATTCTTCTCCTGTCCATTTACAGAATTAAAATTATGTCTTTACATTAACACAAGCATCTTCATTTAATTCATTACATGATATTTGAATCAATTATATTTCATTCAATTATTCACATCTATTGTTAATATAAGTGCAATTATCACCCTTTATAGATAAACAACTCAATCTACTTAGACCTAAATCATTGCATTTTTAATTATGTAATTATGGCTTAATACAATTTCCATCTTTAAATTAACAATATCCATCTTAAATAGCACATACACTAGGACTTACATTTACATAATCTTCACAAGTCTTCATATTATCTACAATTAAAACTTAACACTTATTTTATTTCCAAACACAAGTTATATTATGAAATACAATCCCTAAACATGAGTCTTTATTAATATAATCATCACAACTATTAATTCTTGAACTGTCATTACATTCATTATTTTCAAATATACCTAAAAGTATGATTATTAAATCTTACATTTCTATCCTTCAATTTACAAACAACCTTCTTTATTCAACCCTTCAGTTTTACATTCAAGAGTGTTCAATTCTGCATCTAAAACATTTTAACATTCATAATCATTTTAAAATAAACCACTTTTACATTTAACTCCAATGATTAAAGCACATGCACTAGGTGTTACTGGTACATTATATGCTGATTAACAATTTTAAGCTTCACTGAATTAAGTTTTAATTTCTTGGCACTATTACCCATCCCAATAACAGATTTTTCCTTTTACACTTGCACAAGAGTTTCGATTGAATAATGGTGAACATCCTAAGTTTTATAAATAATGTTCTTTTGCTTCAACACATCTTGATCCAAAATAACCTAAAAATATATTGACTTATTTCATACATTTTGCTTCATTTCCATCTATATTTCTAAGCTAGTTTAAACAAGCTCTCTTATTCAATTATGGACTACATCCTAAATTTGTACTTTGAGTAGGCACACAAGCATTTTCAAATACACTAAATTAACCTATTGTTTAGACTAAATAATTACACATTATTCCTTCTGTTTTACTAATGCATGCTAAAGGATCCATGGGATAGTAATTGCAAAACATGCAAAAAGAACAGCAAATTAAGCTGATTAAAACAAATGATTTAAGCATTTTTATTTATTAATGAATTACTGTATCAAAATATGAAGATTTATGCTGAATTTTTACTTTATTTATCTTTGAATTATAAATAATACTTAAATAATAAAAATTCAAAAATTAATTTAAATCAATACATGATCCCTTAAAAATAGTATTAATACTTGTCATACCAATTAGCCCTCCAGTTTCCTCTACTCAAATCTATTAATCTTTACATATTTAATATAAATAAATACTTTTAGCATTAAACATACAATTAAGTATCCGAAAGATCATTTTGTAGGAATCTTCTTTCCAAATTATTTAATGTTTTTTCTTTAAAACACTTCAAATTGGAATTCTCCATCATTTTTACTAACAATATAATTTTTTCTTTATGCTTTCTAATTGCCTTAAAACCTTCAAAGAACATTTTTCTAAACCTCTTAAATAAATTAGAATCAAATCCACCCAATATATCAACATATTCATCTGTCAATTTAAACGGCACATCTTTTTCTAAATTACCCTTAGGAGCACTGGATAAAAAAAATCCAAAATCTATATGAACAATGTAGCCATCTCTATGTAATAAAATATTTCCATTATGTCTATCTTTGATTTATAAGAAATAACAAACTAGACTATACGCCACTAAACTGTTTAAGAAATTGGATATCATCGCTTATGAAGAGTTTAATCTAATTATTATAACTAAATACTTAAAATATGAACTCAAAGATTTAATTTGTAAAATATCACTTAACTTTTTTTTAAACGAATCTATTGATAACGCATCTTTAACTACTTCTATTAAACCATAACCAGGTCCTAAAGATATAACTTCATAAGTTGTCAATTATAATTTCAATTATTCAATTTTGAAAATCTAATCAAATGTTGAAATTAATTGCATTGCAAATTACTCTTATCTTAAGTCATCACCAGATTTAACAATAAGATGTACTAATTTCCATGTTTTGAAATTTCGAAAAGGAGAGTTACTTCTTATTTTATCTTAATTATCATAACCAAAAATTAAATCAGTTAATTCCTTTTTTGTCATTTTATTTAATTATTTTCCTGTGCCAGTTTAAATTTATACTAAATTATTTAAATCTTCATAGTATGAATGTGAGACATCATTATCCTTCAATATATTACTGAATTATGTCAAATCCTCTTTTCCATCTTCAGCTTCCTCTTCTACTTCCACAATTTTACAAAGATAAGTAGGTCTATTTCTAGTACAATCTTAAGTTTCATTATTTTCACTACTATTCTTATTATCCATTTTTCCTACTATTTTTGGAATAGACAAAAGACTATTTCTAAGTGGATTGGGAATCATTTCCGCTTCTTCTTCAGGTCTGTAGATTTCAAAGCATAAATAAAATGGAGATCTACATTTTGTAGAAAATACTTTGCATTCATCTACAACTATATTAAGTACAACATAATTTCTCACTCCTTAAAATGGTATATAAACTGCAGCAGGTAAACCTCTGTTTATTTTTTGGATATCTGCTTTAAGAGATATTATTTTAGGGTCTGCCAAATGTAAACTAAAATCTTATAAATTATAAGATACTTTTAGGAAATATATATTAAGTCATCCCAGAAATCGATATTAGAACAAAATCCTGATGATTATGCTTATCTGAAAATTGATTCATAATTAGCTAAATGCAATTTATCATCAAACACATGATTTGAATAAAATAATGTGCCATATGCTTGAATTCTGTCAGGTAGTGTATTTACTTATTGAACAATAGGCATCCCTTTAGAAATCTGCTATTCTATGCCTTGATTAAATTAATGGTTCTCATAATAAGCTGCAATTAAGAGAGTCTTTTTATAAACTCTATCTAAAGTTGATAAAAAGAGTCTTAAATAATTTTCAATTTCTGGAGAATTATCATTTACAATTGATCTCCAAGCAAAGAAAAATGTATGAGCAAAGAAGAAATCTACTTCAGCAGCTTTAAGAATAAAATTAAGCACATATTCCAATTATTTATATAAAATTTGGTTGATTAGTTGTGGAATAAAGTACTCTAAATCATCTCTAAATTACAATAAGACTAAATTTGGATTTAATCTACAGCGTGATAATGCAAATTCAGCATTTTAACCTCTATAAATCATTTCCAAGATTATTGATGCTGATACAATCTCTTCATCAATCTCAATGTGAGAGAACTTCATCCTAGAGTGAAAAAATATACTGTACATCGTTTTTTATATGGAACCACCAAAACAACCGCATCCTATTTGAGAAGATGTAGGTTTATCTTTAAACTTTGACATATTTTATATTAATTATTAGAATGAATAATTCATCAAATTCTAATTCTAGATAATCTGCACAAAACATCATTAACAAATATGAATAAAATAATAATGAAGATAGATTTACATTTTAAGTAAGACCCAATTCACCTAGAGACACTTTTGGAAAATTAACATAACCTAGGAATGGCCAAGTTCAAATTCTAAGAGAAATAGATTAAGCAAATCTTTCAAAGATGCTTAGTGATTTTTCAATAGTTTCAGAATAAGAGGAATCTATATGTCAAAATCAATTTAATAATCCTATTGGAATAGGTATTATCTATTTCAATTCTTAGTTTAACCTACATAAGTAATATAATAAAAACAATAAGAGCAAGTATAAGAGAATTAGAGTTATCGTGGTACCTTTGGCAAGAATCCATTCTTTTAGCCTAAATCAGAAAATACTGAAATAATTGAAAAAAGCTATATAGAAGAAGAACTATATGATGATATGTCCGTTTTAAAAGATAAGGTTATGGGATTACTATAAGCTTATGCAGATGATTTAAAAAAATCAAACAATGATCCTACTATTAAATCTAAAATCTAAGTTGATGCAAAATAAGTAATGAAAGAGTATTCCTAAATTATTGAAAAGGTTAATCAATCTGATATATCCTAATTGAATGTTTCTTAAAATCAAGTTAAAAAAGTATTCTATATTCTTTAAATTTATTAAGGAATAAGAATTAAACTTAATGTCTAATTTGGTATTTGAATTCTTGAATAAGTTTGATATGCAAAAACAACCAATTCTTAATGTCTCATAAGTATTAGAATAAAAATTAGCAAAATCAAGAGTCATAAATTCCAATCAATAATTAGAACTTACAGTTATGCATTAAATTCCTTGTGATGAAACATTTTATTAACATGATTAGTATAATGATGATAAATTAGAAATGAAAATTCAAAAACTTAAATAAATGCTCTAAGTTGAACTTGATAAGTAATAACTTGTTTATTCAAAAAAAATACTATCAGATATGATATCAAATTTAAACTAAATATTAATTGCCAATGATGCCCAAACTGTTAAAACCATCATTTATAAAATTGAGAATATGATTAAATAATTGCCATAAGAAGATTGTGGATCTATATAACTCTATGATTATATGGCAAAAGCAATGAAGGCAACTAAAAGAAGAATAAAATAAATGGATCCATAAAATTAATAATAAGAAAATACACTCAAAAGAAAATTTTTTGATCTTGCTACCTAACTAAAAAATAAATTACCTTAAGATCATCCGGGTAGAAATGAAATGATATCAGTGCTATACGATCTTTATTGTTAAGCTAATAAACCTGAATAAATGGAGGACTTTATTATAAGTTAATTGAATTTAGTAAAATGATATTTATTATTTATATGAACAACGAATTTTAATCTCACTTAGGCAAATAATAGTTTAAGATCTAATCTTATTTAATGGGAAGAGTATTAAAAGCAAAAAAATTGAACAATAGCTTTCTCTATCATAATTAAAGGATGATAGCGTTACTCAAAACTGGAATGCTTGTTTACTATTCTAAATGTTTCAAATCTCCATCATAAAATGCAGATCTAATTAAATCAAAACCTAAATATGGAGTATATTTTAATAATGTTCATCATTCATGTGTCAAAATTTCAGACAAAGAGGTTGAATTAATTGTAAAGTTTAAAAAGTCCTAACTATACAATTTTGATGATAATTTATTTAGTTATGTAAAAGAGCCTAGATCCTAGGTTGTAGTTCTTTGGATCTTTGTTATTTAAATAGATTAATAACTTCAAAAATAAACTGGTGATATTAGTAAAGGACGTGACAGTTTAAATTCTTTATATAACGGTCAAGTCTTTTGTTTTGATGAAAAGACATAAAAAAGTAATTATTAGTAAGCAAAGACAGAGAAAACATCAATTGAATAAAGAATTAATACAAATGATATCAAAATTAAAAAAAGAGTTCATTGGCTTGATAATTTTACTTAAAAATAAATTATGGAAAAAAACACACAATAATTTTTCTCAGAGTAGAAAACTAATAATATTAATAATAATAAATAAATATAATAAGAAGATGAATGGGAAATTAATGAAGAAAAAACTGATCTCACAATCAAGAGTATTTAAATCAGAATGGTTTCTTTATCATTAAATGGATCAAATAAAAATAATAAAATAGAATGAATATTACTTCATATATCTAAAATCTAATCTTCAAATAATAATGTTCTTTTATTATAATTATATTATATTAAAATTATAATTGCACATATACTACAAAATTGAATCTGGTTATATTATAAATATAAATCATATATTTGATATTTATAGATTAATTATGAATACTTAAATATATAACTTAATCCATTGAAAACTAAATCAGATAAAGTTTTAGTATTTTATTGATAATATTTTTTATATTATTAATTTAAATTTTATACAAAAATAATAACAATACATTTTATAATCTTTTTTGATTTGACTAAAGTATTTTTTTATTCAAAATAAGATGATTATTAAGAAAAGAATAAGGTTTTTATATTTGAATTAATTTAGTTAATTATTCATGTAATTGTAAATATATTTGATTATCTACAACTAATATTTAACTATAATTAAATATATTAAATTAACTTAAAATATATTCAATTCAATTCTAATTATTATTTATTAATTCCATAAGAAATCATGAAATTTGTAATGAATTAAAATATCTATATTATAAATAATGGGTCAATAGCAGCAGTCAATTAAAAAAAATTTCTTTTGGCCTAGTAAAGGTGAAATTGAAGTGTGGACTATCCAAGAGTTAAAAGTTTATTTATTTTATAAGCAAGATCCTTTCTGAAGTGGATTCAAGATTATCAGAATAATAAAATGAGTCTTTGGCTCAAAACCCTATTGAATATTCATTAACTTGGATAACTAAATCGAATTAAATTTTATTTACAGTCACTAGAAAATCTGATAATGGTAAAGTTAAATTTATTGTTGATTAAGGAACTGGGAAATTAATAAGTATATTTTATAGTAAAAATCATAGAAACTGAATATATTTAACTTGAAAAAGATGAGATTTCAATTTTTGATGAATTATCACCTTAAACAATGTGGAAATGTTGGGTTGAAATATGGCAAGGTCAACCAAAAAAGAATGATTATGTACTTAATAAATTAGAGAGTTAAGAAAATGCCCAATTTGAATGTATGAAAGGATCTGTTTTCAATCCAATAGTTAAATTATATCGGGAACGAAGAGAATAAGTTTAATTCATAACTAGACAATTGTTTTATACTAATTAAAATGATAATTCTAAATCAAGCAAATACAAAATAAATATGTAATTCTGTAAATCATAAATTTGGATGTTTAATTGGGATCTTAAATAGAAGGTAGTTCCTTAACCATGCTTTTTAGAACTACAAGATAAATTATAATTGGAATCTTTATCATTTTATCAATATACTTTAAATTGAGTATAAACTAGTAATTATAAAAACATAACTGATATTTTTCAATAAGCAAATATTCCTCCACTTAAATTATTTATTGTAAATGGATTTATAAGACATCTATTTGATCCTATAAAAGATTGCATTTCACCTTTAAAATCAGGAGAAGAATAAAATTCTATCCTAGTATGTCTTGGAATCTAAATCACAAAATTATACTTACTTAAATTGATCTTACAGTCATTCTAGATAATTGAGGAGGAATTGTGGGAAATCGACCACAGAGTCTTATGGCTCTTCCTTAATAATTACATTCTTCATAGGCATAGAAACAAACATCATCAACATCTAAATATAAGTTGATAAATCACTTTATTCTAAATTAGCTTTTTTAGGCTTTGTAGCTTTTGTATCATCTTCAAATAAGTATTCACCTCTATATCCATCACCTCTTAATAAATCTCTAACAACTCTTCCTAAATCTTCATCAGACAAATTTTCTATTATTTTTTCACCTTATTCATCTTAATATTGTTCATCCTAATTTTAATTTCCTTCACCCCCTTCTTCACCACCTTCATCCCAATTCACTTCTTCAAATTATTATTCATCTTCTCCACCTGCTCCTTCTTGATTATCGTAAACTACATTACTATCTTCTCCTTTATTTTCATCATCATTATCCTCAGAATTATTCTTATTAGAATTTTTATTTTTTTTTGATTCGTTTTCTGTTTCATCATCATCCTAAGACTCACGATTATTTTTTTTATTATTTTTATTTTAATCTTAAGATTTTCCTTTTTCTTTATTTCCATTTGAATTATCATTAGAGTCTTCGTCATCACTCTTTGAACTTTTATTTTTTTATTCATCTCGTTATTATTAATCTTCTTCATCACTTTTATTATTTTAACTAGATTTTTCCTAAGAATTTTAGTCTTCACCCTTTTCTGATTTTGTTTCTTATTCTTTATCATCTTTTTCAGCTTATTTAGATTTAGTATTTAGTTTATTTTCTGCAAAAATTTGAGGCTTAAATTTTATATTGATTGCATCTTCCTCTTTCATAATTTCTAAACTTTGTAACAAATCGTCATCTTCATTTGCATTGCAAAAATACAAGCAGATGAATCCTATTAATATTATTACTCTTTTCATTCAATATATTAATATTAATACTTTATTTATTTCTACTGTGAAAAAAAAGAAATTCTTTTTATTATAAAATTTCGAAATCATTAAAAGATGATTCTATAATCAAATATTAACAACTTTGAAATTTCTTTTAATCTATCTCATCACTTAAGAAACAGTGCTTTATCTATTTAAATTTTGAATCAAAATATCATTTGCTTTAAACCATTTTTCAATCCTTATTAAGTTTATAAGGTTCTTATAAATAAATTGTATTATTCAAAACATCCTTCAATTTTATTTTATTTTTTTATTTTTATTCTATGGTTCTATATTCTTATTTAATTATAATAAAGGAATAAAGAATTAATTCAAATACATAAATGAATATATAAAATAGTAAGTTTCATGAAATAAGTATATAAATAGTTACTTATATATGCAAAGTATTTAAATTACTAAATTTATTACATTAATAGTAATATTTTTATTCATTTATTGTATTTGAAGATTTTTTTTCCACAGAATATTGAATAAATAATTAAATTAATATAGCTTAGTTTGAATCCGTTAAAAATGAATTCCCTCTCTTAATTATAACTCCTTTTAGCAAACAAACCTTCAAATACAAAAATGTTTTTGACTCGTTAACAAATTATCGATAAAGTAAAAAAAGAGAAAGAACTTTAACAAATTTAAAGTAACAGAATTCAAAACAAAAAAATTTCTAAACCTTAATCAGTTATGAAAGTGTCTATAGCTAAATCATCTACACAAAAATTATCTTAATAAAAAAAAACATTTAGTTGTTCTAAGTTTTAGATTAATGAGTTAGTTCCTGATTATGAACTGATTTACAAAAATACTAATAAATCATTATAAAATCAATAATCAACATTAAATACAGATTATTTCAACTTTGTTAATACAAAAACGAAAGCAATTAAAGATTTTTAAGAAAGAAAAGATGAATTTTAATAAATTGAATTAAACCCTTCTTAAATGTTATCTGGATTAGGATAGTATTAATAAATGAAAAATGAATTAATGAAATCTTTTTTAGATATAGAATAAATGCTATTAAGAAAAACACATTGATTAATAATAATTAATATTGTTTAATATTATACTTCATTAACATTTTAATAAATTTTACTATTCGATGAAGCCATTTAAATAATTCTCTACTTCTGGTTGAATAATTGAAATTAATTCTGTTGAGAAGTTCATTATAAAAACATTTAAGTACTAATTAGAAATATTTTAAGCAATTGTTAATTCATCTTTGTTTTCAATTTACTTTTAATTATTTAAACTAGGTTAATCATAACTTTAAAAGTTTGTTAGGAATGAAGATAAATAATCTGTAACAATTTCTTCAACTATTTCTTTTTAAAATATATTATTAGATTATTCTTGTATATCTTCTTATTAAAGAGGTATATTATCATTCTTATAAATTTAATTTTGTTATTGAAATGATGAATTTTGATCTTATTCTTAATAATCTTCAACAAAATCTTAATTTTCTAGCTAATCATTTGATGTTAATTCTACTTTTTCCTCTTTTATAATAATTTCACACTAACATTCAAAATCATACTTTTATATTTTATTTTTAATTTAATTTATCTCTATATTTTTAAGAGTTTAGATTGTCAATTCTGTTTTAGGCTTTTCAATTCTATAATTATGTAAATTAATACTTTTATATTATTTCAACCTTTTTAGAAGATTGATAATAATCAAATATAGAAGCTGATTATATTAAAGATAATTGTTTCTTATTTTTAATAATGATTTCTTTATCTTTCTCTTATTGAGTTTTTAATTATTATTCTATTTATTGCAAATTCTATTCAAGTGATTGTTTCTCCTATATTAGTTCATTTATATTATCTTATTATTCTTGTATTTAATCTTCTAAGTATTTAGATTCTTCCTTCAATTTCTAATTTTCAGCTTCTATAATTTTACTTATATATTATCAATTATTACATAACGCTTTATTTGGCTTATAATTGGGAATTTAATTATTCTATATTTTAGATTTAGGAATTTAATTTAATTTAATTTTGTTATTGAATTTTAGTTAATTCTAATAATTTTTTATCTTTCTCTTATAATTGTTGATTAAATTAATGTTAGATTGTCTTAATGTCATCATTTTGATTCTCATTTTAATTTAACTATTTTCTGTAGGATGGCTGATTGCCTTTCAACTATTATTCTTATTATTTCTTCATAATAATCTAAAACTTTTCAAGCTCTCTCTATAAATTATCATTTAATAGCTTTAGTTTATTAATTTCCCCCTTCTACTCTTAGATTTTAGATAAATAACCAATTATCTAATTTTTCTTTGGTTCAGATCCTCTTGGCAAAACATCATCAAGCATAGATCGTAAATGATTAATCTCATCTTCATATTATTGAATTTGAATCTCAAAATCTTTAGGTATATTTTCAGCTAATCTTTACTAGAGTTAAACTTGTTATTTTAGTATCTCAATTTCATTTTGTTACAATCTAATTTTATGCTAGAAAGATGTAAAAAATGTAAAATGGTCGGACTTTTTTCTAGTAAAGAGATCTGATCTTGTCATTTGATTATCATCCACAATATCATTGTTATTGTGTTAAACCTATTTAATAAGATTGCATAACATAAATTATATATACTTTTAGTTTTATAGTTTTGGTTAATGATTACTTTTAATCTGTAGGTCTATTAGGTGATAGTTTCTGTTCTAAAAGTTCTTCTTTGTTTCTGGCAGACAGCTTTTAGGCTTATGCGCTTTTTGGTCGTTTCATAATATATTAAATTATTAATAATTATATTATTATTTCTCAAAAGTAAATATTAGTAACTATAACATATTATTCTCAAATCACAAAAATAGATCTTAACTAAAATTAATTGTTGAAACATGATTGTAGTGAGAAAGTTAATACTTTTTAATAAGGGATGGAAATGGTTAACTAACTTCATCTAAAAACCAAGTTTAAATTAACTCCTTTGTTAATTTATTAATTTGGTTAGAATCAACCTAAGAGCTAAAAGTTATGATTTTACCTTTAACATTGATTAATCAATCTTTTTGTTCGAGACTTTCCCAACAATATTTAAAATAGTTCCTACTATTAAGAAAGGGTCTCCATTGGCAAATCCATAGCTAAATGAAGCCAATTATATCAGATATCAACTAATTAAATTTATATAATCAACCTAATTTAATCATCTACTTCAGCTATGTGTTCAAATATTCGAAGTGGAGATATGAATGATAGATTAAAATTTATATTTTACAGTATCTAACCTTCTGCCTTCAAAATATCTTCTTTGCTATAAACCTCATCACACAGTTTTGATAATTAACCACTTTTTGGAACACCATAAACTTCTTAATATTTTGATGCAATGAATAAACAAGCAATTCCAAAAAGTTGAAATCTATTTTTTTATACTAAATGGGTTTCAATAAATCTTTATAATAAATTTTAATATACTTGTCTATAAGCCATACAGTAAGCAGAAGAGTTTCTAATTGTAATTTTAGTTTATGATGCACTTCAAAGAGCCAATTAATAAGAACATTTCTCATTTTTAGAGTTATTTAACTTTATGAATAAAATGCATTATATGAGATAGCATTTTATAACTATTATTATTAATTTTGATTGAGTTCTTCAAGATAATTATAAATATCTTATTTGTAAGTTTTGACTAATTATGGATTACCATAATTTTCTGTTGATGAAAATTTATCTAATCCTTTTGTAATTAAATCTACAAATAAAAAAATAAAGTTTACATTTATTACTATTAGGTAATGATATTGAAGCATTGTTATTATTATTATTATTATTATTATTATGGGCTTAATTAATGATAGAAATCTAGATGTTTGTTAAACTTCTATTTTTTAAAGTTCTTTAAATATGCTAATATTAATCAGTTTTTTATCTGGGCATTTCATAACTAATATGCCTTTGATCCTCTCTTTTTCCATTCTCTCTTATATTTTGTGATTTATTCCATTTTGAAACTCTAATAACTCTTGGTTTAATATTTTATTGAGATTACTCATCTTTAATATAGAGAGTAGATTAAACTCTAGTTTATCTATTTTAAACAAATTAAAAGTTTCTATTTTCTTTGTTAGCTTCTAGCATTTTCAAAATATTCACAGATTTCATCGTTGTTATTTTAACGACTATATAAATTATAATTAATAAAAATTGGCCAAATATAAACTAAACAGTCTTAATCAAATCAAATATTAAAAAACAAATTTAATTTACATTTCTTTTCTTTGATGAAGGTGAATAATCAAATGAGATGATCTAATTAAAATATAATTGTAAATTTAATAATATTACATCATAAATAGTATCAAATAGCTTTTAATATTATTTGATAAAATATTATTAATAATTATAAAAGCATTATAAATAATTAGATTATAAAAATAAAATAGACTAATTTTTTTTAACATTTAAATTTTGTTCTATTTATCCAACCCATAATTAAATAAAATTTTTATAAAACCTTTATACGTCCTTTCTACAGTAATGTATTGAGGTCATGCTTGCGAGTTACTTCATTAACATTTAAAAATTTAGATAATCTAGAAGTTCAACTTAACTTAGGAGCTAAAAGAGAACACCAAAAACACTTAAGGTGAATAACTTATAACATTCCACTTGCGGCGCTCTACCTCAAAAATTTTTTACATTTTTTCTAGAATTTAATTATAATAATTTTTAATTGAACAATGTATTTAAATGAAATCAGTACGAAAAAACTATAATTTATTAAATTAGTTGCAAGGTTTATAAACTGCTACTGAGATGGAGAAACAAAAGATTATTAATTTTTTATTCATCTTTATTACTTGCTGAATTATCACTATACAATATATTATTTATTAACTAAAATAAATTAATATATTTAGGAAATTAGAATATTCATTTTCAATGTATAATTTATAATTTAGGCTAATATTATTGAATGAATTAAGTGTTAAACATATCACAACATAGTTTGCACACATATATAAAGCAAAATATCATATATTCAAGTAGACTTTGTTCTATCTCTATTATTATAAATTATCTTTTAAATGAATTCATAACCAAATTTTCCAAAGAGGGGAAGACCTGTGACTTCTTAAGAAAATGTCATTTCAGGCCAACTATTAATTTCTAAAACAACCATTCCATTCTTCATAGAATCCAAAATATCAACCTCACCAATAGTCAAATGGGGATCAATAGCAGCACAAGCTTTTTCAGCAATTTAAAAATATTCACATTTTTTATCAGAATCCATCTTAGATTCAATTGTGAAGTCATCACTATATCCATTAGATTTAAAATCCTAGATTTAAATATTAATAATTACCATATTATCTTAAAATTCAGTGACAGAAACAGCCTTACCCCCAATCACAAGAACTCTAATTGATCTTCCTATTGTATCATCAACAAAATCTTGTATAATGGCTTATTCTCCATTCCACATGGACTTACAAAATAGTTCCACACTTTAGTTATGATTTATTGATAGTTTAACTCCAGTACCTTCATATCCTAATACTTCTTTTATGATAGATTTGTTATTAAATCTTCTAAGATTTTCTTTAAAGGTATTTAGTGAGAAAGAGGCTCCACATCTAGGTATAGGGACTTGATTTTCACTAAATTTGATATATTGAAGCAATTTATTTTAAAGTATATTCTCTGTGGAAGGTTGATGAAGTGTAATTTTTTTAGCAGAATGGGCAGCAAAATTAAAATACACGTAATCTTAGTAATGTTTTGGAGACATGTATCCATAAGCTAAAAATGCATCAAATTATATTTATTCTCCTTTTCTTAAGAATGATATTTCCTATAATAAATTATTATTAATAAAATACATTTCCAATAATAACACTTAATTCTTCAAGTTCTGTGATGATTAAATTTACTTTTAATTTTTAGAAAGTTTCAATTATAAGTTAATCCATCATACCATAAAATATTGGGTCTGGATTGATCATAAAGAGAATGGTTATTTTTTCGTATGACATAGAAGATAAGAATGTATAATTTTATTAGATATTTTATTGTTCTATTTTCTGATATGATTTTAGGTTAAACTAATCAAATGTTCATGAATCACTTAATAAATTTTATTAAATAAAAAAATCAACATTATTTATATATTCTACCAGAATTGGTGCATATTATCATTTAACCCCATTAAATTAAAAAACACTAAATTATATATATGTTTATTAAGTGCAGATGACTTTTTTTATATTGAAAAGCACACCAAATAAACTTCAGTTAGAAACAGATATGAGTATTCTTAAATACATAAATTTAGAAACTAAAGCATTATATTTTATGATCATCAAATTAGGATGTATTAAAAATTAGGAGAAAACAAATTCATAAAAAATATATATCTAGATTAATTAATCTAGATATATAAATCTCCTTAACTAAATAATCAGATATTAAAACATGGTTCAAATCTATAAAGATATCTTCTTAAAAATTAGCTAAATATTTAAAAATTTATATTTTTGGTTCTATCTAAGGTGTTTGGAAATTGATTAAAAAATCATTGAAGCAGAAACATATAGATTTGCAGTTGATTATCGAAATTTAAAGGTTTTCTCTCTATAGCTTTAATCAAGTAGAGAAGGGGAATATTATAATTGCATTATAATCAGTCTTTGATGATTGTAATTTATGATATAAATTGAAAGAAAATATAAAGATCGGGTATAAATCGAAGCATCAAAGATTTTTAAATTGCAGAGCTTTTTCGATTAGATCAAGATTTCAAAAGTACTTTATAGTAAATAACAATTAATCTTAATTGAAAAATTGGTTATTTTACTTAAAGTTCTATTTTTCCGTCAATATTATGAGAAATGAAAAATAAGAAATAATTATATTGATGGATTAGATAGGTTTTATAATAATTATGATTTGATATTACAAAAATAGCATTACAATTACATTATTCAATAAAGTGACTTTCTTGCATATAAAAGTATATATGGACTGCTACTACCATCTGTATCATATCTTTATTGCTTTATATCAATTTCTCTAACATCAGAATCATTATATCGATACCATTTTTAATTATATGGATTCTTACTATCACTTTATTAATATATAAATAATAATTACGCTGTGTAGTGTCCTCCATACAAAGTTCCACTATGATTTACTATTCCACATAAAGAATATTAGCAGTTTTTGGTAGACTAGTCGACTAAAATTAAGAATGTCTTACGTGAATCCTAAATGAATTTTGTCATATCTAGTTCTAATGGAAATTTGACTCTATGATTTAATTTGTCACTTGAAAATCTTCTATAATCAAATCTTTTGATATGAAACATTAAAATATGAGGTAATCTCCAAATTGTAAATTTGCGTTTTACTTTTTAATGCTTTTTGCTTCAACATACAATAACGATAAATTAAATACCATTTTGAACAATAATAATCATCTATTGTTTCTTCTATTACATATTTATCTAATAATCTATCTAAATCCATATCTTCCAATATTTTAAATGCTCTTGTAAATGCTAAGGATGTATCTTAGAAAGTGTCGAATGCATATGAACTATTGCTACAAATACAACATTTAATAGAATGTAAGAGTTATCCTTAAAAATAATCTAGAACTAAACTATTTTCTCTGCTTTTTGAATAATCCCACCATTCTTTACTCTAAAATATAATAAAATAAGAATTACTAAATCTTATAATGTTCTTCCATTAAGATTATCATTCATTTCTTTATAAAGGGGTTTGTTCTTTACTCTATTTAAGCCAAGACTTAGACCATCTAAAAGTCCAACCAAAAATTCTTGGGCATCTTATTGAGCATAACCTTTAAAACAAGGCATTACAATTTCTATTAAAAATAAACAAAAAAGAGTTACCAACTGCTGATTTGATTCCATATGGAGCAATAGATTGAAAATTGGGAGTGTTTCTTATCGCGGCTACTAATTTACTGTACTCATTGGGAACAGAGCTGTTTTTTGAATTTAAGTCTTTTAAGTAGTCACCATTTAAAAAATGTTCATTAAAAGCAGGAACATTAAGTAAACATTGCAAAACTGAATTCCTGAATGTAATTTAATATAATTACATGAAGCATGTATTGCCAATATTTCTTAAACCGCATATGCCTTTGCTGACATTAATCATAGATTTTTATTAATATTATTCTGGTTGAGATTATGTCATAGTTGAAATTGTTGAAGGGGTCTTTTGAGTAGTTGATAGGGAAGTAGTCATACCACTTTATTATTGTTAATAGTTGATTTAAGATGGATATTGTTTTTAATTGTTATATTCAATTGCACTTGCCTAGTCATATAAATAATAACAACTTACTTATTATGATAAGGTATTTAATGTGGATGTTCCATATGAGGAGAAAGGATAATTGGATTTGATTTCTTGAGTGGGTGTTGACTAGGTTTTATTAAGTAATAATGGATAATTGGGCAATACTTATTATTACATTTTATCTTTGATTGTACTTGGTGGTCTTTGATTATTAGTAAATATATTTTGTCTCATTATTTAATTAATATAAAATGGATGATTTAGATTTTGAGCAATTTTAGTGATATATACAATAGGAACATCATCAATGTTAAAAGCACGATTTGAAATTTATTGATAAGGAAAAAGATCATAGTTATGAGAAAAATTAAAATAAACAAAAAATAGAGAGTCATAAAGAGAGAGTCATAAAGAGAGAGAAAAAGAAAAAAAATGTAGTAAAAACAAGAAGAATGAGAAAATGGATAATAAAATCATTATTAATTAATACGGTAAAAGATCAAAATCAGCATCTAAATCATCTAAGAAAAAAAAGAATAAAGAAAGATCAGGATAGAGAAAAAGAGAAAGAAAAATAATGATAAATGATATTTCTCATATTTGAGTGAAGGACAATTAAATTTCCTTAGCTTTGGTTAACAATTCCATTTATCAAAATGAAATTAGTAATGCTATCTCAATTAATAAGACTTATTGAATTATTGCCACAATCAAAAGTAAACACAATAATTATTTGGGAATTTGTTGATAGAAAGTTGTAATTTGTAACTCAATTAGACAGACACAAAGATTATATAAGTTATTTAGTCTATAGTAAAAAGTAGATTTCTTGATTTCGGCTACTGTTGGTTAATTCTAATATTGATTGTTTTTATATTTAGACATATTTCTCTATCTTAGTTTCTAGCTACATATTTAATTATAATACAATGGTGATGGCTGATTACATATTTATAGAAATCGAAACCCTCTTGTATTCTATGGATGTGTTTTACTTATTTGATATTATGAACAGTTTGGTTGTATGTGGTGCAGAACTTCATTATTAAATATGATTGTCTAGTTTTTGATTTGAAGTTTGGTTTTTATAGACTAAATAGAAAAGTAATATGTTGAAAAAAAGGAGTTTTAAGAGCCCATTGTGGATTAAAAATTTGAAAGAAAAAAAAAGAATAAAATGCTTTCTTCTCTTCAGTAGAACTAATTGAGTAAGATAAGCCAAAACTTTGAAATCTGACTAAAATATTTTTAGATTTTTATCTTCTTTAATTGTTTTTCCCTTTTTAATTGCAACTTAAGTTATATTCCTTACTAATTTAGATTGCTGCGAAATAAAGGGAAATGATTCTTATATAAACAATTCAATGAATAATAAAGCATTCTCAATCAAGAGCAATTAAATTTCTCTAGCTTCTAAAGCTTATTCTTTATTTTATTTTTTTCCTTTCTGTTTTTGATATATTACTTCTAGGAATCTTATTAACTCGTCTTTATCAATAGATAATGTGCTATTCTAAAACTTGTTTGTTACTTGCTCACTTACTTTCCTACTGTGAATAAATAACTATCTAAATCCATCAAGTATTCTTGTTTTCACTTTCTTGTCCATTATTATTTCTAATAAATAATCGAAATACCTAAAAGTTGTTTTAAAAAGGTACTTCTTATTCAATTCAATTTCAACTTTTAAGTTTTTAATTTTTCGCAATTATTGCAATATTGGATTACCAAAAATAGTTTTATTTAATCTATGAAATTATTGCTAAGGAAATAAATTTGTTATAGCTTTAAGCATTTGAATCGATAGTGAATGCTACTTCTATAATTAGTTTATCTTAGCATTTATGCAATTTGATAGTTAATTCTATCTCTTTTCCAAATCTATAAGGTCTGATAAAATTTCAGCTTTCAATATTTAAGTAGAAATGGCATGGGAAAATTTAGCGACTTTTTCACATCATTTTCAAATATTGAGATGGTTAACTGATTTCTGAATAGAGATATTGGCTCATTTGATTGATTTTATTTAAGTGTTGGGTAAGGTTTTGTCAGTAAGAATTGTCCATATTGTTTTTAATGAAATTATTATTCATTCAAGAATTTTAATAAAATCTTAAAAAGAAAATTATATTCATGTATTTCTAAGATTCAAAGTGTAATTGTAAAGTGAATGAATGAAAAAAATTTTTGGTAAATCATTTTAAATTCAAAAAGCTTAAATTAATAAATTGTATTTTATTGGATAATTATTATTAATTTTTATTATATCATATCTCATTCCATTACTCTTTGATATCTTATAAAGCTTATTTTTTCCCTTCTTTTTCTATTGAAAATTCATTGTTTATCATTTTCTCAATATATTCAAATTCAGTCATTGTTTGCGGAATACGATTTAGTCTTTTACCCAATATCATTAACTCATGTATTAATTTTTTGCTTTCTAATTTATGATACTATAGAGATATATTTTTTTTTTTTTCGAAATCATCGACATCAGGTCGAATTTCATCCGTCTGGTATTAGGTTTCATAACGAAAACTTTCAGATTTATGATCTTTCCAATTACATGTACCTTGACAGATTGTGCATTAGCCATCATTCATTACAGAACAAAATATCTTACCATTTTTATAGCATGGATAATGACAGGTATTCTTGCAAACTATGCAATTTTCAGCATATTCTCCTTCATTTAAATTTATCTCAACTCTTTTTTCAAAAGTAAAAATTAAAGTTTAAGGTTAATTTTTTTTTATTTTATCAATTTCATCGAGCTGCTTTTCTAACCATTTATACCACATTAATCTGCGGTTTTCTTCATCAATCTTTTATTGTTTCAATAATTGTTCAACCATCTTTTTTTTTTTCATGTAAGTCTTGAAAATCATATATGTATTAATTGAAAATAATTAGAATTTCTTTTAAAAATGAGAAATTTTTTTTATAAATATCCTTCATATTATAAAAATATATAAATTCTGTTTTGATTTGCTCTTAAGCTATCATTATTTATAATTTTAATTTTGGTAAAATTGAGCTATCATAATATAAAATAAATGATTTCTAAATAACTTTTATTTTGATTTATAATTTAACAAGCAGATTTAATTTTGAAAATAGGTTAGGATAAATAATATATAAAGTTCTATCTGTTGTAATAAACTAATTACAATTCTATATTTGTAATAATTAGTATTTTTTGTTGTTGTTTTCATCATGGTAATTTAAAATTTGAATAGATTAATGTTTCAATCAAAAAAGTAAGAACATGTTTATTAAGCTCAATTGAATTAGATAGACACACTTAATAAATAACAAGAAAAAAATATTAAAAATAGTTTTCAAAAAAAATGTCTTCCTAAGATCTGACCTTGTTATGATCTGGTGGGCCGCAGGAAAAGGTCCAAAAATGCACAAAATGAAATGAAATTTCAGTTGGGCTCCTAATTATACCCTGACCCCCCTATAAGCTTTGAGATATTTTTGGTGATTGTTTATAAAATTTGGTTCCTTTTAGAAAAAACAAAGGGAAAATTTTTAAATATATGATCAATTTTCGAAAAAAAGTTAATAATACAAATACATAAATCAAAGAAAAATAGAGAAAAATTTATTAAATTTTAAAATTAAGTATGGAATTTTTTAAATATTTTTATATCTTATATATTTTTAGATATTTTAGTGATTTTGCAAAATATGGGAAAATTGAAATTATAGATGCAGAAATAAGAGAGAGCTAGAAAGAAAAATAGTTGAAATAGATGGAGAGCTAGAAGATGATTTAGTTTAGAATCCAATAATGAGAATTTTGCTAATAAAAATTTGATGGATGTCATTTTAATAGATAATGCAAGAAAATTATTTAATAATAATAATAGATCAATTTACACACTTTGATGATATAATTAGGATTAACTGTTTACAGAATCCTAAATATTATACAATCTCCTAATCCCTCTTTAGGTTGCTTATCTGGTTAGATGTCTCTTAAACATAATCCACTTACATGTCCATGCATCTTAAAAGTTATTAAATAAACCAAATATTTGAACTGAATCAGAAAAGGTATTGGTTAATAAAAAATGAAAGTGATATTATTATTGTATTAAATAATGGGAAGCGTATTAAAGAACAACAGAAAATTCTGAAATAAAAAGTTTAAAGTTATTTCATTATAAAAAGTCAATTCGCGAGCATAATCAAATGATATAGTAATATATAATAATAAACATACAAAGTAAAGAAGTTCATTTTTATAATTTGATTATGTCTAAGGTTTAATTTTTATTGAACTTCTTTAAGTTTTCTAGATTAGGAAATAGTTTATCAAAATTCTTGGCTAAATTTAATACTTTATTTGATAATTCTATAGTTTCATCCTTATCAACATTAAGTACTTATAGAGTTTAAGAAATCTAATAAATAATAGTAATAGATAATTACAATATCATCAGTAGATTCTTGACATAATAGATTGCATCCAATTATTATACATGCTGCTGATAATGATGAATAATTATATTAACTAATTAGTTCATAATCGTATAAAACTATTTTAGCTAAGTAGATAACAAGTTAATGCATTTTTTAATACTAGTTGATTAGTTATAACGTCATTGAAATAATTTCTGAAAGTGTTGTTCCAACAAATTTAAAATCTAATGCTTATGCTATTTAACATTCCTTTTCTCTAATTTCATCTTTAGATAATTTTTTGTGTGCTATCTTTTCATGCACTATTTATAATTTTACAGGATAAATTTCTTCAAATTTACTGGCAATAAACATGCAAGTCACACCAATTAGATGTAAATCTTATGGAACATGTTATTTAGTTGTTAAATGTAGAAATGTATCCATCAATCTTACAGCCATAAAAAAGGTCTAATCTTTACATTTGTATGATGTTAACACTTCAACCATCCAATCAACCATTTTAGCTCTTAAATTATTACTTATAGTATGCTTTTTTAAAAACTCAAACTTTTAAATAGAATCATCTTTCTAATAATTTATAAGAATATTATCTCCATAAAGATAAATTAATTTATTTTATGGATTTTTCTATTCTTTATTTAAATAGTCTTGGTTACATTAACTAATAGAAGTAGTCTATCTAACTGTGATTGGGGAAAACTATAAATGACATAATTTCTTACAATTTATTCAGTTGTAGAAATAGTAGTTTTTTACTTCACTTCTGGACGATAATGAAGACTTGATACATTTGGGTTTCTTTGTGTTAAATAGTTTTATTATTAAGGCTATTGTTTGATATCTATGCTCTTGAATTCAATTTCTATAAAAATAAATGAAAATATATATTACTTGGTTATCTATTTAGCAAAGTTAATGAGACTAATTAAGTAAATGATTTTTAATTAGTTCTTTTGTCAATATTATTAGAGACTTCAGCTTGGTTCTCCTTTTCAAATATACGTCTGGTAGTATCTTTCATTGTTGTATAATTATGTTTAACAGATAAATAATTAATGAAATTTATTAATAAACTTATTTTAGTATTTATTATATGAATATGAAATAGTTCATAAATTAGGAGAATAAATTATATTTTAAAATATGTTTAAAGTTATATCATATTCATGTATTAAATAATCAAATTTATAAAAATCAATGATGAATAGTAATATCATGCAGTTTATTAGAATATGATGTTAACGTAATTATATAATCGATATAATGTCCATTTATTAAAATCTATAATATTTTTCTACGAATGAATGAATCCGAAAACAAGGATTAATCATAAGAGTTGATTACTAATAACCAAAAATCTTGGCATCATACTAATGTTAGATGGTTAGCTTTGATCTTAGCATGTCTATTTTAATTTGGAAGCTATTTTAGCACAGATTATCCATCTGTTTTGGCAGAAGAAATTAAAGATAGCTTTGGCAAATCTTAATCTGATGTTAATCTCCTCTATACATATTACTCATTACCTAATGTGATTTTGCCTCTATTAGGAGGATTATTTATTGATGCCATTGGAATCAGACTTGCTATGGTTGGATTCTTTGCTATCTTAATAGTGGGTTAATGTACATTATTATCTTAAATTTAATAAGTTCTTTGTTATATTTCAGCAGTCACAGGTAATTTTACAATAATGTTAATTGGTCGATTAGTCTTTGGATTAGGTGGTGAAAATTGTGTAGTTGCTTAATCTTATATAGTAAGTAAATGGTTTTTTGGAAGTGAATTAGCATTTGCTTTAGGGTAAATATATGATTTAATGTCTTAGTTTAAATATTACATTTGCAAGACTTGGTTCAGTTTTAGGAGCAATATTACTTGGAAAAACATATATATGGTTTGGGGATAGTTTGTCTGCATCAATGTTTTTTTGTTTAGCTCTATTGATCTTAGCCTGGATTGATGCTATCGTATTAGCTTTATTAGATTAATTTTGTGATAAGAGAGATAATGTAGAAGCTAAAATTGAAGGAGATAAAATAACATTAAGTGATATCAAAGAGTTTAAATTAGATTTTCATCTTCTTACTCTCAGTTGTCTCGCATGCTATTCGGCATTCTTTTTATTTTAATACAATAATGTTGAAATGTTCAAACTAATGTATACTTATTAATTTATTTTAGATATCATATGAGTCCAAATTAAGCAAATAATATTTACAGTATACCATATTATGCAGCTGCACTCTTAACTCCTGTCTTTGGATTTGTTATTGACAAATTTGGTAGAAGAACTCATTTATTAGTGTTATGTGGTTGTTTACTTGTATTAGTGAATATTATGTTTATAATGATTACTTGTGATTCATAAAATGCATGTCTTACTGCACCAATCTTAGGATAAATTTTAAATGGGGTCTATTACTCTCTGTATGCAGCAGTTATGTGGCCTTGTGTTCCTTTATGTGTGCCAGAAAGAGCTGTTGGAACAGCATTTGGAGTTGTAAATGCTGTCTAGAATATTGGATTAACAGTATTTCCAGTTATTGTAGGCCACTTAATATCAGATGAAACCCCAACAGCCTATAGACATATGTTATTATTTTTAGGCAGCACTGCTATTATTGGATTAATTAGTAATATTGGATTATGGTTTGTTGATAAACAAAATGGAGGTAAAATGGCCAAGCCTAGTCTCAAAGATAATTCTTAAGTTTAAGATTTAAATGCGCAGCAGGAATATTATTATCCAAATTCTGAACCTAAATTAGAGTGAAATATTTTATAATACATAATTTATAAATTATAATTCAAAGATTCCTTAATGATTAAGATAGTTGTAATTTATGTTAACTAACTACTTATCTATTTAATTCTTAATACCATTCTTCTAACAATGCTTATGAAGTTACATTAAAAATGTATTCACAATCTCTATATTTGATCTTAAGACAATTTGGTTTACATTTCAAAGGATTTTTAATTATAATTGCATCTGCACATGGGACAAATAGGATTGGATGCATATCTCCAGCCTATTTAAATAATAATAGTCCCACATCTGTCATTAATGCAAAGACTTCAACCCAATCCTAAAATCCAAAAAGTGTTTTCTATTGCATTTACAAAAATCCTTATTTTTATGAAACTTTGAAAGCTGCTTATTTTCCACTTCCATCATACAATCCATTCCCAATTTCATTTAAATTTTTAGGATGAGTGTAATTTTTAAACTAGATCTAAAAGTTTTATTAGTAAGATATTTAAATTTAACAATTAAGAGTTTCATTTAAAAATTCTATAAAATCTTTTAATTTAAAGGTTTCAATTAAATAATCATCATTTTAGCCTTTTATTTTTAAACAACATAAAATAGGATTAAATTCACAACATATTATTTATTAGATTTTAGAAATTGGGAATTATCTTGTAATTTTGATGTTTTAATTATGTTCTTCAAAAAAATAAAAATTACTTTCTGTAATAAACATAATTCTCTTAGATTTTTCTCCTCTAATATTTATCCTAAAGATATGATCACTAAAACAAAAAATGTTATCTTTTTTCAAAGCTTCCCTATCTTTTTTTATAATTTCTTTAATATATCGATTATCTTTTAATCCACAATATTCTTTTTTAAAATAACTAAATTCATCAATTAATTCAATATTATTGATTTGAGTACTATCTGTATTTTAAATAATACTCTAAAACTCAGACTATATAGTTTCATTAACCTTCTAATATATATCTTCTTAATTAACTAAATCATCAACTAAAGAGAATGACATTCTGCTTTAAAGAGTACTTTGTTGTTATTGTTGAAAAAAATCTAATTTAATTTCATATTCTGCTATTTTTTGTTTCATTTATTCTATTAATAAATCTTATGATTATGCCATTTTATTATTTAATTGAATCTAGTTTTAGATTTCTTATTTTAAAAGATCTAGTTATATTTAATCATTGTTCATTCTTTAAATTAATGTTTCATGATCATCAATAATTAATAATAACTACTAATTATTTTCATTTAGTCTCTTATTCTCTGAAATAAGCTAAGTATTATAATTATTTAAGAAATCTAACTCCTATTATAAAGTTTTTATGTGAGATTCCAATTAAGAAAGTTGTTGACTATGGTATTTTTCAGAATCAAGCTACTTCTATATGGAATTATAATTGTTTTATAACTCATATATTTATGAACTATATTTCTGATTCTCATTTATTAATTACTATTTATGAATGCAAAGATTATCAATTTGTTCTTGTTAATCTTTACATAATATTTCTACTTCATCAATATTAATCAATTATTCTTTTATTACTTCTGATTAAGTTATTAATAATTTTGCAATTTACATAATATTCTCTTATTCGGTATATTCTTCTAATTATAATAGAATTTTCATTGAGGTTTCAATTTCTTTATTGTGACTTTATAACTATTCTTCAAATAATATACTCATTTATTATATGATATTATTATTAATATTAGATATATTTTACATGCTAAGTATTCTTAATTTAAGTCTTTTAATTGTTGAAACAATTGAGTAGAATATAGAGCATGGAATTGTTATAAAAATTACATTTTTCAATTATTATATTTTAATATCAGCATTAAGAGTTTTAGTATTTTTCTAGAAAAATCTAAATTATTTAAAAGGTATCTTAGAACATTACAATGTGTAGAAATATTTAATTATTTTGAATGTTTTCAGGAGGTTTCAAAGGATTTAGTGGTTTTCCTTTTGGAGGAGCAGAAGAAGAAAATTCTACTTCTTAACCATAAAATGTTGATAATAAATCATTATATGAATTATTGGGAGTTCAACCAGGTGCCACAACAGATGAAGTTAAGAAAGCTTTTAGAAAAAAAGCAGTACGAGAACATCCAGATAAAGGAGGAGATCCTGAAAAGGTATTTATACCAAAATTAATAATAAGTTTAAAAAATTAACAGAAGCATATGAAATACTATCAAATCCTGAGAAAAAGGATCTTTATGATAGATTTGGAATGGAAGGAGTGAAGAATGGTGGAGGAGGTGGAGATATGTCAGATATATTTAGTCATTTTTTTGGAGGAGGTCGTAAAGAATCAGGTCCTAAAAAAATGAAAGCTAAATTAAGAGAATTAGAAGTGACTTTAGAAGATGTTTATGAAGGAAAGATCATTCATCTTAAACATCAGAGAAAGAGAGTATGTGAAGGATGTGATGGAAAGGGAGGAGCTAACTCAAAATAATGTTCAACTTGTAAAGGAAAAGGAGTTGTTTAAAAATTAACAATGTTAGGTCCAGGAATGTATTCTTAATCAAGTGGACCTTGTTCAGATTGCAGAGGTGAGGGTACCATATTTTCAGAGAAGGATAGATGCAAGAAATGTCATGGAAATAAAGTTATTGATGTAGAAAAGATAGTTGAGATTCCTTTAGAGAAAGGTGTACCAGAAGAACATGACTATTAATTTTATGGAGAATCAGATGAATATCCTGGAGTGATGGCTGGAGATTTATATATAAGAATTAGAATAAAGAAACATCCTATGTATGAAAGAAGAGGAGCAGATTTATATACAAATAAAAAGATTACATTATTAGAGGCTTTAACGGGTTGTTAATTTACACTTAAATTCTTAGATGGATCTTATCTTAATATATCAACTAAACCAGGAGAAGTTATATCACCAAGTATTATATTTCTTATAATATTTTATAGATAGTTTTAGAACTATCAAACATAAAGGTATGCCATTCTATAAAGATGCTATGTAAGAAGGAGATCTTCATATTTAATTTGAAATTGAAATGCCTACTGAATTAAAATAAGAATAAATTAATGTTCTCAAAAATGTATTTATTATCAAAATATATTAAGATTTTACCTAAACCTTCAGAAAGTAAAGTAAAATTTGATCCTAATAAACGAATATATTTAGAAGAATATGATGTTAATAATCTTAATTCAAATCCAGAAGGAGGTAAACGAGATGATGATGAAGAAGAAAGTTAACCAAGAGGACAAAGAGTTCAGTGTGCTTAATAATGAATTTTTATGTTTCTATTATTATTATAATTATTTGCTTAATAAATTATATTGCAATATGAAACAGGCAAGAATTACAAGATTACATCCTATTATAAGTCCTCCTAAAAATGAAGAAGTAAATCAAAATTTAATCAAGTCTAGGCTCCTTTTTTTGATCCATGTCCTAAGTTCTAAACTTTGTATCATCCCAAATGTAGTTTAGATAGGATTATTTCTTACTTGTTTTTAAAACAAAATGATATAAATGGTAAAACTTTTAGCTAAAGACGTATTTGCAAATTAGATGCAACTTAAAATTATGATGGCCCTTCAAAATGTAGAGTTCTTAAAATTCATCCTCCTGATGCTAATAAAATTAATGGGTGGTAAAATGTTGGAGGAGAAGTTTCATATGATTATGATAATGGATGGAAAACTAGATTGAGTGATATTTGTACAGATATTTAAGAAGATATAAACATTATGAGAAAGGTTTTAATGGATGAAGGTGAATAAAAACATAATTATAAAGCAAGGATAGAATATCTAAGAAGATATATTGAAGAAATTAATAAAATGTACCATATAGTCAATCTTAAAGAAGATATCAAGAAATTACGTGGTATTTATAGAAAAAGTAGAGAGGAAATTAAATCTTATGTTAAATTTAAAGGTACTCGATTTTTTGAAATTGTTCCTTAATTGAAATCAACATCAAAGACACCCACTGTCTTAGATGAATTTAAAGTATTTAAACCACTTTCAGATGAAAAATTTATGGAGAAATAAAAATATCTCGATGATTTATTTAAACATCTGAATAAAAAGAATCAGTAAAAGGAAGTTAAAGAATAATTGGAATAACTTGATTAATTAGATAAAATGTTATAATAATCTGGAGTCAAAATTGATCCCATTTAATCAGATCCTTTTGTTTCAAAGGATGTTACAGTAAATAAAGAAATTGAAAAGAAGTTTGTTTTCGAAGAATTTATTGAAGAATCTAAATAATATGAAGATGAATAAGAAGGTGAATAGAAAGATGAAATAAATGAAGAAACTGAAAATACAAAAGGAAATAATTAAAGACCTAAAAGAGCTTTTAGCTAAATAATTTCAAGCAAATAATAAGATAAAAAAAGTGCTGCCTAAGAATTCAATTCCTAACATTACTTATTTGAAGTGAAAGATGTGAATTCATTTGGTTAACAAATTAGATTGAACAGATTAAATAAAATTATGAATGAAATGTTCAAAGAATAAAGAAACTTTTCTTAAGATCTTTAATAATATTCATATAATCATATAAAGCCTTAAACTGTCTCAAATATCTCGTGCGAAAATCTTCAAAGTCTCAAACATGTAATTTATTAATAATAACATAGAAACTTGTTTAAAGTAGAGAAAAAGAATTAAAAAGAATGAACAAATCATCAGCTTAAGAAATTGGAAAAAGAAGCTCAGTTCACGTTTCTGCATTTTATTCTACTGCAACCTCTAAGCAATAGCTAAAATTTTATTGATAATTCTAATTTAATTAATTAATAAACTATCATTATATTATATTTTTGTTCAATGTTTTCTAATTTATAAAAACCATTATATATTATTATTATAATTAAAATTGACATGATATAGCACTTATTTTCTATTTAAATGCAAAGTTTATTATAAAATATAGGGAAATGTACAATTTCTTTGTTTCTGGCTCTAAATAAATATCTATTAATTTAAAATGTTAATAATTATAACAATAAAAATATATTATTAAATTTGAAATATGTTAATTAACAATAATACATTAAACTAAAAGATTAAAATCACAAATAATGAGAATAAAAACAATTAGGAAAGTTATTTTAAATAAGATAAAGAAAATTATTATAACTAATGGGAATTAAAATTAAAATAGAGGGAAAATTAGGTATTTAAATCAGTCATATATAGTTTAGTTAGAATAAAAATATAAAGAATTAAAGAATTACTCTAAAAAATTGAAGGTTAAGAGTGATGAACTTTTGAAATAAAAATTAGAATTAGGAGATAAAATAGAAAAATATAATAGACTTTTAGAATAGATAATCTAAGTTTAAATGACAGATAGATAGATCAATAGAACAGGTTCATTAACACCAAATAATAATAAAATAAGAACAAATAAAATTGGAATTAATGAATGTTAACAAAGAGTTGCAAATTTATTACAAAAAATTAGACATACTAGTAAGACTAATTTAAAAACTCAATAATATTCTTATTTTGGAAATAATTCTGATTATGAAGAAATATTATTTAGTAAAAGATAAAATCATTCTACTTCTTTTACAGGAATTATGAATTTAAGTGCATAAGATTAAATTCATTAATAACAGTAATAATTATAACAATAAAAATAATATGAAATTTAATAATAGGAAGAAATAAATTAAAAATCAAGTTTGCTTTGTTGTGAAAATGAGTTAATGAATCATTAATTTAAATTGTAATAAATGGAGACTAATTAAATGCAATTTTATTCGAAAGTATATGAAGAAATGAATAAATTAAAGTAATAAATTTGATTGAAGATATTATAATATATATATATTATTATTACAAATTATGCTTATGTGTGTTACTCAATATAATTTAAAAATAAACTAGAATTAACTTTAAGGTTAATTATTATAAAATCATGGCTAATTAGTTTGATCTATAGATTTTAATTAAATTAATACAAATCTTTATATTTTGATGATGGAAAATCGAATATCTACATGTAATGAAATTGAATAAATTTTAAATCATTTCCATAAATTAATTATTATATATATGCTGTAAGAGTACTATGACAAGAAGGTCTTGTTTCTTACTGGATGCACAGGTAGAAATGAAAACTAATTTTTATAGGGTTTGTTGGTAAAGTGTTATTAGAAAAGACCTTGCGTTGTCTTCCAAACATAGCTTGTATTTATGTGTTGATAAGATAGAAAAAGGGAAGCAATTTAATGGAAAGATTCAAAAGAGAGATTCTGGACTCTTAGGTAATAACAATATTATTAATATTTAGTGCTTTGATAGATTGAGAAAGACATATGGAAGTGGATTTGAGAAATTTATTAGTGAAAAAATATATCCTATAGAAGGAGATATGTTAAAGGATGGTTTAGGTTTATCTTAACATGATAAGCAAATAATAATTAATAATGTCAATGTAAACAAAAAATTACAATAGATAGATAATAATTAATTGTGCAGCCAGTGTTGATTTCAATGCAAGATTAGATGATGCTATATTAATCAATGTAAGAGGACCTTAGAGATTTATAGCTTTAGCATAATAAATCAAAAATTTAGAAAATTTTATTCATATTTCAACAGCTTATGTAAATTCAGATAAAGGAGGTTATATTGAAGAAAAAATTTATAATCCAGGCTAAGAGAATTTAGAATAGTTAGTCACTTAATTACTTAAAACACCTGTCAGCATCTTGGAAAAGAATGTAAAAGACATAATTGGAGATTTTCCAAATACATATACATTTACAAAATGTATTGCAGAAAAACTATTAGTCTAAACAAGATCTCCGAATTTTCCATTGACTTTTGTAAGACCCTCTATAGTAGGTGCATCATGGAGAGATCCAGTCCCAGGATGGATTGATAGTTTAGTGGCCAGCAGTGCAATATTTTTTTTTGTTGGCTTAGGATTAATTAAAACATTAAATGGGGATGAATGCCTAATTGGAGATTAAGTGCCTGTTGACCATGTATCAGACTTTATTTTAACAGTTGGAGCATATTAAAATGGGAGAAAAGAGGTTTCTGTATATCATTGTTGTTCTTCAGCCAAAAACCCAATGACATGGGCTTTGGCTAAAGAAGTAAATGCTTAATTTTGGACAAAATCTCCAAGTTCTCAATAATTCTCTAAACCTAATTTAACATTTTATAAAAATGAAAAGTTATATAAACTTATGACTAAAATAAAAAATACTCCTGCTTTAATGTATTATTAGATTGCTAATCGGATAGGAAATAAGGAAATGAAAATATAAGCGAAGAGATTAAAGAAAATAATAGAAAGAGCTGAATCAATAAATGAAACATTTAAACCATTTGTTATAAATGAATGGATATTTGAAAGTTCCAATAGTAATTTATTAATTAAATTCTTGAGTGAATCTGAAAAGTAATATTTTAATGTTGATATTGAAAAATTGAATTGGAGAAAATATTTAGAGAGATTTAATTGGGGAATCCAAAAATATATATTAAAAGATTAAACTAGAGAACTAAATGAGTAAAGTACTGATGTTTTATCTTAAAGAAATTAATAATCTTATTTTAGTGATATTGAATGGTGTCTGAGTAATGGATAAGATTTTAAAACAAAAACTGCAAAAGAATAAATTAGTTTAGTAATGAATTCATAAAGAGTACAATCTGTAATCAAATAATTGGTGGAAGAAAAAGCAAAAAAATATTAATCTGCTACTCTTAATCTAGAGAAATTCCATTAAAATATTGAAAAATAAGGGGTTGACATTTGTGAAGTTATGTTTGCTAATTATAATATGGGAGTAATCCGTATTTTTGCTTGGTTTATAACTAAAGTTTTTAGACAAATCTATGAGAAAGTTCAAATAAATGAATAGGCTTTATTAGAATTACAAAATTATAATTAAAAAGAAGGTGGACCATTAATATTTATGCCAACCCATAGATCCTACATTGATTTTATTATGGTAATCTAATATCATATTATATTTAGTGTTCATATGTATTCTTTTCATATAAAATTAAATGTCCACATATTGCTGCAGCTGAAGATTTTTTATAAATGTCTATTATTCCCATAATTTTGAGAGCTTCTGGAGCTTTTTTCTTGAAAAGAAAACAATTAGAAGATAGCATCCTTTATAAAGCTATATTTTATGAATATGTCTAGAGAATTTTGATTGAAGAATGCTACTTAGAGTTCTTTATTGAAGGGACAAGATCTAGAACTGGAAAAACTTTAAATCCTAAATTTGGATTACTTAGTATAGTAAGCGATGCAGTCTTTGATAAAAAGATACCAAATGCCACTATTTTGCCAATCACTATCAATTATGAAAAAGTTTTGGAAGCAGATACATATCCATATGAATTATTAGGTGAAGAGAAAGTCAAGGAATCATTAATAAGAGTTATTAAAGCATTAAAAATATTATCATCTAATTTTGGAAGAATTCATGTTGGTTTTGGGAAAATGATATCTCTTAAAGAATGGTCAAAATAATAAGGATTAGATTCTTTTGAAAATATGAGAGATAGAAAAATAGCAGTAGAAACTTTAGGATATGAGGTAGCTTATAGATTAATTGAAGAATTGGTAGTCATGCCAACAGGAATAGTATCCTCACTTTTATTAATGAATAGAAGAGGCATTACAGAAGATTAATTAATTAAACGATTTGAATGGGTTTTAAAATAGATTACAATTAGAGGAGCTAAGACATCTATTACAAATAATGGTCAAAGTGATGTTACAGTTAGAAATTCTATTGGATTTTTATAAGATTTGATTGATAAAAAAAAGAAGAATGTTTTTGAATTGACATTGATTCCAAAGCAAGAATACAAAAGCATATTGTTGTTAAGTTATTATAGAAATCAATTAGCTCATATTTTCTTTAGTGAAGGTATAGTTTGTTGTGCTTTAAATGGATTTGGACATTTATTATCTCATAAGGAGGGTGTAAGTATTGAAAGATTATGGGAAGAAAGTGATTTTTTATTAAAATTGCTTAAAAGGGAATATGTAATTAGAAATAGAATAACTACTAAGGAATAAATGATTGATTTCATATATTGTATGATCGATAAAAATGTATTAGAAAAGGTTTCAGATAAAATTAGAGTTAATCAATAATTTGGTGAATAAGCTTCTCAATTTACTTGTTCAATTATATGGCCCTTAGTAGAATGTTATTGGGCTACTATAGTTTATTTATATCAATTAAAACGGGTGAGTGAAGCTAGTACAACCTTTGAATTGGCAGAATTGATTGCACAGATATAAGGATTTGCTGAATAAATGTTTGGAGAACATATAATGGAACATTATGAGAGTTGCTCAATTGAAACTATTAAAAATGCTATTAACACTTACTCTACAATGAGATGTATTAATATCAATAAAAAGGTTGATTCAGAATAAGTTAACATTTTATTTACAGATTAAGAAGTATTTTTAAAAGTTATAATTTTTTATAGTTATTAGAAGTAGAAGCTTAAGTGAAAAAGTACCTTAAGAATAATTATTCAAAATCAATATAAAACCCTATAGATATTGCAAGATCTTTGTTAGATTATACCATTATACCAAAATTATGAGTAGTGTTGTATATACTCATATTAATATTATTGAATTATGATGATATTTTGATTGATGCTCAATGATGATGTGATCCATGTCCTTTCTTAACATACTATAAACCACAATATTTGCAAGTTTAAGGTGTTCCTTCAGTTCTTGTATCTAATTTTATATAAACTTGAGGATGTCCTGCATTGATATGGGTACCACCCTTAAAGATATTATTAATTGATTACTAAGCATCTAACCACATCAGAATCTACTTCAATTATTGGAATTTTATGAATAAATTCTTCAGCTCTGCTTTTATGAGTTTGGAGTGATTTCTTAATATTATTCATTATACTTTATGAGTTTCATCATAATCTAACCATTTATGTTATGCTAAGCTAGTGTAAGATTTCACAACCTGCGAAAATTAAGCTGTCTTTGCTAATTGTATACACTTTTGCAACATTATTATAATTTATTAAATTTATTAAATATATAAATATAAAATAAAACTTATTAAAATTCATTTAGTAAACTCAATGAGATGATATCAATTCTTCTATAATTCAAAGAACTCCCTTTAATAATTTTAAATAGATTTTTATATTTGTTATTATAAAAATTTTGTTTTCCAAGTATGTACTTAATCAAATAAATATCTATATTTTTTCTTCTACATTAGCATTTTACTCTTACAATTTTGCATGAATATATTCTATTTCTTTAACTTTTTCAAATAACTATTTACCATATTCATTAATTTTAATTCTACTTTATCCTAAAATTATTATATTTCTTTCTTATAATATTTTAATAGTATTAGTTAACTATCAAATCTAAATATTAGCTTTAGATAATTCACTTCTTCATAATCTTCCTATTATTTCTATTATTTTGCTTCTAATATAGTTATTTTTTTTACAAAAACAGAACTTTTATTTTCTAAGTATCTTTGATTTATAGCAGATTCTGATTCACACCATCTATTTCATTTAAAGGAGGAACATAAAACGAAGATATATAAAATCTATAACCTAAATATTGATCCCATATTGGACTTCATATGCAGTCCATTATAAAAATTAGTATGCCTATAGAATTTACAGGGTTATAAAGCTATCTGTAGTTAGAAATTTAAAATATATTTTGAGAAACTCTTTAATTCTTGCCAATGAAATTTATTTAAAATAAGTTGAAAATCCTACTCAGTAAGTGGGTTAAAAAATATATTATCATATGATATATTTATAATTAAATTCTAGAAAAAATGTAAAAAATTTTTGAGGTAGAGCGCCGCAAGTGGAATGTTATAAGTTATTCACCTTAAGTGTTTTTGAACTTTCAGTAAGTTTATATTTTTTTTTTTTTTTAATGTTGTTGTTGTTGCCTAGGGTTTTCTTTTAGTTCTTGAACCTCTAGATTATCTAAATTTTTAAATGTTAATGAAGTAACTCGCAAGCATGACCTCAATACATTACTGTAGAAAGGACATATAAAGGTTTTATAAAAATTTTATTTAATTATGGGTTGGATAAATAGAACAAAATTTAAATGTTAAAAAAATTAGTCTATTTTATTTTTATAATCTAATTATTTATAATGCTTTTATAATTATTAATAATATTTTATCAAATAATATTAAAAGCTATTTGATACTATTTATGATGTAATATTATTAAATTTACAATTATATTTTAATTAGATCATCTCATTTGATTATTCACCTTCATCAAAGAAAAGAAATGTAAATTAAATTTGTTTTTTAATATTTGATTTGATTAAGACTGGTTAGTTTATATTTGGCCAATTTTTATTAATTATAATTTATATAGTCGTTAAAATAACAACGATGAAATCTGTGAATATTTTGAAAATGCTAGAAGCTAACAAAGAAAATAGAAACTTTTAATTTGTTTAAAATAGATAAACTAGAGTTTAATCTACTCTCTATATTAAAGATGAGT